TTAATCTGCCCATTAGTCATTGTGTTAAAATAGCCATCAATTATGGTGATACAAAGTCTTTCATAATGTATCTTTTTTTAAAAGATGGGATCTTGCTATGTTGCCCAAGGTGGTCTTGAAGTCCTGACCTCCAGTGATCCTCCCACCTCAGCCTCCCGAAGTGCTAGGATTACAGGTGTGAGTCACTGAGTCCAGCCACAAAGTCTTTTAAATTAAAATATATTGTAATGAGACTACACTTGAATTTGAATCTATATGTTATTCATTATTTGAAACTTGCTTTACAAACATTGCTGATGGCATTACATTTACTTCCTAAATTTAGATAACAAAATACTGAGAAGTTAAATGAGAGATGGAGAAAGACCACTGAAATTTTATTTTGAAACTGACTTGTTTTTTGTGGCACAAAAACAGTCTTCTGAAGAGGAAACAATCTGAAAACCCGTGTCAAATAATTTACAATTCTGACTCAATAAAATGAAATAGAAACCAAAATAAATCATTCTAACAAATAATTCACTCAATCTACAAATAGATATATAAGATATGTGAGTGAGGTCAGGGTACACAAAGTCTAAGGCCATGAAAAATGTCAACTCGATAACTTTGGAATAAACATTTAACCTACACTTTAATATATGTTTACAGAAAGATTAGAATTAAGCAACTTGAATAAAAAATCACTTTTTTTTGAAATATGCGGTACTAATATTCTGACAAGGTGATTCTTGCATTTTTGCAGTGTAATGCATTTTAAAATTAATCTTGAAATATATACCTTACAATCTTGAAATAAACTAGGTTGAATTGTTTCTTTACTTATGATAACACATGTCTGTAGAAAAGAAATAAAAACTGTGCTTGATACAATATTTGAAGTAAATATTTCTGTTTCAAGAATGGCTAAGAAAGTTTGTCCAATCTACAGCTTCAGAAAAAGAGAATAATCCCTAAGGACCTTCCTTCGTTTTATCCAGAAGCTCATTACCCTAGTTGGTTTTACTTCTCAGAACAAAATCTGCCAGTATTTACTCTCAATTTCCACTCAAATTAATGAAACAATGCCAGGATGAAGTGTACAATTACAACTTTTTCTAATGAGGTTTGAGTTAAAGACTACTTCTTATTCCACCTGTAACACACAGCATCTTTGTTTTATGGGCCAGTCTTGACACATTGAAAGAATGGAAGGGAAACACTGTTACATTTAAGAGAGAAAGAGAAAACAACAGTCAGTAAACAATTTGTATCTAATATAATTGAAGAGAGACAGCTATTTATAGAGTAGGGATATTCACTTTTCCAAGTTGGAAGCTAAGTTGCCATTTTAAGGAATATATTTCCCAGACAGCAGTCTAAAGCTAAAGCAGTAATATATATAATAAGCTTGTTTTGCAAGCCACATTTAGGAAAGCCTCTTCAAATGCGACTAGGAGTTTTGCTACATTTCTTTCTTTCCCTAAATGTCTTTTTCCCCTTGCAACAAAGGCCAAAAATCTGTGTAGAAACATGTCCATGGGAACAGTATCATATGTTCATTGAGTTTATATAATTTTCTGCTTACTCAGAGGTTGACAAATATTAGTAAACTAGGCTAAGATTTGATTTAGAAAAGACCTTTTTCTCTTTTTAGAAATCAGATAAGAAACAAAATCTTTTAATTACCACAGTGTGTGATCTGTAGGTTCCACATCAAATGCACTTAAGTGTTTGCACTAGTTCCAGCTGTTCACAGGAAAAAGCATTGAGGATTAAACCAGTAAAGCTCATGTAAACAAACAGGTAAAAGGAACTGGGTCTCACAACAAAGGTGTTAGTTTCAGAGTTTGCCTTGCTGGAGCCATTTCCCTTAGACCAAGTGATCACTAACTACCTTGCTTTCTTCCTCTCTTTTCCTGTAAGCTTTATTTAACAACTGGATTTCCTCCTGGTAGCCGTCCTCCTGATGCTGCCTCTTACTGTTCTGCCTGTGGGCCTCCACCGTGTCTGGAATGGAAATGTTAAGATCACCATCAGGATTACTTGTGGGTAAAAAGAGGGAGTAGGAGGCTGTTTCGCCCAGATCACAAGAAACAAATCTGTTTTCCTTCCGTGAGTAGCGCAGGGACGGAGATCTGACTTGGGTGGAGGACTGGCTGATGTTACTGATGATCGACACGGTGTCCAAGGCCTCTTCGTTATCACAAATTTCAAGAACCTCCAAGTGTATTTTCACACTGGTGTCCGCAAATGCGGAGGGAGAATCCTCTGAGTCTGGTTCGTGGCCAACACTTTTGGATCGGTAGACTTCTATCTTCTTGGAGGCTGGGGTTATTTTTTGCCCTTCTGTGCTTACCTCGTAGGTGGAAAGAGAGAGGGTTTTCCCTGTCGGTGCGTGCAGAGACACGGTGCCCTGGAACGCGCACAGAGGGATGGCAAGGGCACCACCGGAACGCTGCGGACAGAAACAAAATTGTTATTATTAAAAACCAGTTTCTGAGATTGAGACATTCCTGTTACTCATCGGAAAGGTAAAAATTTTTGTCTTAGATCCATTTCCCCAGAAACCTTTTACAGATGTGGGATTTAAATTCTGCTACCAAAGTGCCCTAGCTCCGTCAAGCCAAAGGTCTAAATGAGGGCAGTCAGGAATCTTTCTTTGAAGATGAGGGGCATATTTTCACAGTTGAAGGCAAAATGTATGTACTGATGAGAAGCAGTAGATATTTTCCAAGGGCAGAATCTGTACATACAATTGATGCATATTTACAATCTTACAATTTCTATGTTTTTGTTACATACTCTGTTACATTAAGAAGTTTGATTAGGTTGAAAGAAATGCAGACTGTTATCAACATGTCCTTTTATTCCTGTTTATTATGTTGTACCCATGCAAGACCGGGATGGGGTGCTAGTCAGAGCGCCAGCACGCGGAGATCTCGTCGGGTCTGGGACCTTCAGGGCCAGCGGTCGAGAGCAGGCTCGTGCCTAAAGAGCTCTCGACCCCGAGGTTAGGTTCTCCTGGAGTTTATACTCTCTGTCCAGCCAGGGAGGGTTCCGCGGAGCAAAGCGGAATTTTACAGAAGTAGAATTTTGCGCCGTTAACGGGAAGGCTTGCAGGGGAGGGGAAAGTTGCTGCGTTTACACAGTGGGTTTGGCCGGTTTTGCCCAAAGTGTTCAGCAAAACAGGATGTGGTTTGACATGAAAACAGGATGTGGGGGGTAGTGGTGTAAGTTAGGGAATTGCATGAACCGGTCACCAAATGGAGTTACCAAAATGGACTCAGTCTGGCCTTATAGGCACATTAGTTATGCCAGAGGGAATGACAATTTTCTAAGTGTGACTCAAATTAAATATGAAGGTATTTCAGATGTTAGATTTGAGCATGTAAGATTAACCAGCTATCACCAGAACTGTGCTACGGTGAGTGGAGCAGGGAAATGGGCAAAACAATTAGAGGAATAAAAATAGAGAATAAACCATAAATGATATACGATTTTACCAATAATTAAAAAGGTAAAAATAGACCTTTGTTGTTTTTCAGATTGCTCTCCATAAAAAATAAACAAAAAATCCCCCAGAACGAAATAAAAAGATTATAACATTTTTAGAATAAATTTTGATTTTATTTGATTATATTATAAGAACTGCATAGACTTACCAGTCTTCTTATCTCTGTGAGTCAGTTCCACCAAATATCAGAAAGTAGTAAGGTTTATTTCGGCACTGCTGTGAGCCCTCAAATTAGAAACATCCTACAGATCCACATTCAGAAAATAGTTGCATATGTTGTAATGCAGTTAAGAACTAGAAAATTATCTTGAACAGATGAGGCAAAGCTGTAATTTACTGCCTGTGCAAAATAATGTCCACATACCTGCAATTTTAAGTTAGAAAAGCAACTTGCAAAACACTGTCTATGGTGTGATTTCATTTTCTTGTAGAAAAACACACAGCAGAAATCAACCCAGAAAATTGGGAATGTGTAGGAATAAAGACAGATCCACTGACACACAAACACACATATATGCTATAGGCGTAGGAGAAAGGTTTGAAAGGCTACACAATTGTTTCCTCTGGGAATGGACAGTGGCAGGGTATTTCACTTTTAAGATTTTATGTTTCTGAATTATCTTATTATTGTTATTATTTGGTCATGGAAGTTTATTAGATAATAGAGGAGGAGCAGATTGCAAAGCCAACCAGTACGTGAGGGGCTTGTACTGAGCATGTGTTGCCTATGGTGGTAGTCAGCCTCAGGGTTTCACATTTGGAGTTGATGCTGCATTTGGGTTTGTTCTATTTTAGGTTTGGAGAGAGAAGAGATTAGCTGGGTAGAGGGGGCATTGTCTCAAAATTTTGCCCTAGTCCTTTTGGTTGATTATAAGAAGAGTCCCAATTGGGATAAAACTAATATCCTATTCCCATTTTAAAAGAGTAGAAAATGGCACTTACATCAGGAAAACTAAAAAATTTAAATCATCTAAAAGCAAAAGCTATTCAAATAATCCTATGGTTCTAGTCTGACAAAACTTTATAGTACTTTCAAAGTGCCCAGCATCTGTAATATGTCATAGTATCCTCACTGATTTTACTAGAAAAACTATTATAAACATTTGAATCCAACAAACTGTTAACATAAAACTTTAAGTTCAAATAAAAAGTCTCATCTCAGGAAATAACAAAAAAGCAAACACTATGCAGCCCGAGTCACTAACTCTAATGTAGCTGACAGATCTGCAAATCATTCAAAAAGCTCAGAAACAATTTCAAAAAGACTTTAAAAGAAAATATAGCCTTGGGTGGCGGTTGTGGCTCAAAGGAGTAGGGCACCCGCCCCATATGCCAGAGGTGGTGAGTTCAAACCCAGCCCTGGCCAAAAACTGCAAAAAAAAAAGAAAAAGATAAAGAAAATAGAGCCTTAAGAGAAAAATGAACACCAATACACCAATTATGTTGGGGACTGGGGACCCTGTTCCCAGAACCCAATTGACCTGGTTCTATGACTCAGATGAGCTAGAAAGTTCAGTGGAGGCATGGTAGAAATGGAAAGTAAAAGAGAATGGAACTAAAGTGAGTGGAAATCAAAAATAAAACTGGAGCAGGACAGGCAACATGAATAGAGAGAATTTTTGTTTAAGAATGAAGGGAAAACTTACAGCACTTCCAGAGAAAGTTGGAAGTGGGGCCCTCTTGTGAAAGGGAAGTGAGAGATAGGGACAGGCCGAGGCAGTACAGAGGTGTTTCCTCCTTTGGAGGAGAAATATCTTTCTCTCCATTTGAAATTTTTTTGCCACGTTATTTATTTATTTATTTTTATGTTTTATTAAATCATAAACACATAGATCATGTATGCATTAATGCATTTACGGGGTACAATGTGTGTTGGGTAGTACTTTCTCGTGGGGAAAGAAGGACAGCTTGGCCACGGGTGGAAGCTCGCTCCTAGAATTGTATGAAAACAAGAAATGACTACACGCTCTTAGATGGCATGTAGCAAAATGTCTTTATTTTCCACTCCCTTTTATTGGAGTTAGTCACGTACATCACATTGAACAATAATCCCTACATCCTCAAGTCTTATCTTAAACCGTAGAAAAGAAAGAAAGTCCCGGAAAGTGAGACAACCGTCTTAAGACTAGCCTCAGGCTATTCCTCTCTAGAGACCTCAAACAACTATACATTATCTGGCTTCTATTGTTAAAGTTAAAGGTCAGGATAAACAGGGGAGTAAAACCTTTCTCTTCTATGTACTCAATTAAATTTCCAAGAAACAGGCTCCATGACTGTTTTCTCATGGTTTGGAGGCCCTGCGATTACAATGGAGTGTTTTACTCACATCATTACAACGGAGTTTTTCTTTTCACTCACACCAACCTTTGAGTCTTGTCCCCTGCACAGATGGGTCATTTCAGCCCTTATCTGGCAGGCTGACTTGACTGCACAGTCGGAGTTCCATGTAGGAGGTTGTTAAGCCTTGCCTGTAGGCCCCCACCATGCTTTCCCAAGTCCCTTAGGCCTCAACAATAACGCATAATACTCACAAGTCTTTTTGCTCAGTTTCTGGAATTAAAAGAGCACATTTCATTTAATTTTAAAGAGCACATTTAATTTAATTTTGTGGGAGTTCACCCCACAAATGTGCTAATTTCATATAGAATTAGGAACGCTTACATCACACTGGTTGATACATACCTCATCTCATTTACTTAGTTATCGCGTTAAGGCATTTATACTCTATACTAATAGATCCGACACATACCCTCGCATTATGCACCTTAGGTGTGATCCCACCATGGGCCTCTCTGCCCCTCCAGATCTTATTACCTGTCTTATTCCTCATTGATTATCTCTTTCTATTGGTCATTGGTTACTGAGACTACCTCACATTTGTCTTTTTTTGTGAGAGGTGCTGAGTGATGAATATTCCCATGGACCCTCCAGACTTCCTTGTTCATTCAGCAGGCTGAGGTTTCCTCCCAATGCCCCTTGAAGCCCCTTCCTGTGTCCATTCTCAAATTATAAGGAGTAGAGGGTAATACATTTACAAAAGACTGTTAATACTGCTTTGATTTATCTTCCTATTTGTAATGAATTGAAATAGTGCCCCCCCAAATTCTTGTCCACCTGTCAACTGTGAATATGACCTTATTTGGGTATAAAATAGGTCTTTTGCAGGTATGATCACATTTAATGAGGCCATACTGGATTAGGATGGCTCTAATCCAACGACTGGTATCTTTATAAGAAAAAGGAAATTTGGGCACAGATCCATGTAGAGGCAAGATGGCCATGGAATTCATAGTCAACAATTGGATTTGTGTTTGTGCAAGCCAAGGAACACCAAGGACTTCTGGGAACCACCAGAAACTAGGAAGAGGCAAAAAAGAAGCCCTCCCTGGAGGCTTCAGAGGCAATATGGCCCTCTTGACTCTTTAATTTCTGACTTTTTACCTATAGCAATATGAGACAACAAGTTTTTATTGTTTTAAGCCATCTAAATTGGTGTTCATTCATTATAGCAGCCTTAGGGAACTAATAAAATGTTCTATGCACAAAAGTATAAAAATATATTTGGAAATCAACTTATTTTTCAAAGTCTTGCAATTACCCATTATTTTTCTGGACACTATGACTATGGGGTCATTTCAGATCCACAGAGAATGTAATTTCTTCAAAGGAAGAAAACATTTACTTGTTAATCTTTATTTTTCTCTACCATCTGTAACAGTGCCTGGCATATGGCAGGCCCTTGAAAATATTTGCTGACTGTATAAAAAAAAAGTGTGCATAAATGACTCAATCTAATTAAGCCTTTTAGATTCCATATTTTCATTTTTTAAAACACAAATAGCATCATCTTTAAAAATAATGCTATTTAAAATTTATATTTAAAAAGCCCTATAAAATAAACTATGTTGTTATAAGTGCATCCTGAGGTCATATTAGAACAT